GTGGTGGAGAGGGGAAGGGGAGGGGGGGGGGGGGGGGGGGGGAGTGGTCGAGGAAGGAGATGGAATGGAGAATGTTGTTATTGTGATGTTTGCGATGGGTATAGGTTTGGTGATTGCAGGTTGCAGTGTTGTTGGTGGTGGTGGTGGTAAGGGGATGTGGACCATGATGATCGGGTGATGGGTGATTGATGGTATGGGTGGGTGACCTTGCATCAATTGAGTGTCTATGTGGACATTGATTGATGTTGAGCAAAGGTGAGCGATGGTGTGATATTTGTGATCGGAAGGCGTGTGCGTGTGTATGTGTGCGTGGGTGACATCGGTGGGTGACTCGGTGGGTGGCTCGGTGGGGGAGGGGGCTGGCGGGTGTGTGCCCAAGGCAAGAAGAGATTGGCAGCCATCAAGCCATCCCTGCATCCTGGCTGGGTGAGGCACACTTGACGAGCAGGGTGGCTGGCATTGACGACCGAGGTGCAACAGAGAGTAGAGCCTGGCAAGTGTTAGAGCAATATGGAGCTGCTAGAGCCTCTGCGTGAGTTTGTGGCACAGTATGTGGAGACGCCCGAGGTGTACGCCCCGACGTTGGCCGGCAAGTCGCTCGGCCCGGAGATGGTGGCCGCCGTCGAGGCTGCGCTCAAGGCCCTCTTTGACGCCGGCAAGGTGCTTGAGCCGACAGCACTGGCAAAAATGACTCCGTTGGATGAGCTCCTGGTCAAGGGCTTTGATCCGGAGCAGATTTGGGCGGAGATCCGTGTCCAGCACGAGGCCAAGCTTGACTGGCTTGAGGAGCGGGCCGAGAAGCTGGTCGACAAGAACGACGCCGGCTCGCTCGGCCCGCTCTCTGAGCATCTGCCATCGAGGACGCAGTCGAGCTCGGATGACGAGAGCGCCGAATACGAGGAGGAGGACGAGGACGGACTTGTGAGCGACGGCGCCATGGACGATGACATGCGCGAGCTGATGGAGGAGGCCATGGCGAGTGCCAGCGCGAGTGCCAGCGCGAGTGCCAGCGCGAGTGCCAGCGCGAGTGCCAGCGCGAGTGCCAGTGATGACGAGAGCGAGGCTGGTGAGAACGAGGGCCCTGCGGTTGCGGCGATGGAGCTCGCAGCGGCGTCCAGGGGCCCGTCGCATGTCATCGACGACCGGTTCTTCCGATACGACGACTTTGAGCGGATGGGCGACGACCGGATCGACGCGCTCGACCCGATGGGTGCCGGCATTGCCGACGACGATGACATCATGCGCGAGCTGTACGGCATGGACGACGACGACGACGGCAGCGACGACGAGAAGGCCAAGGGCAAGGGCGACAAGGCCAAGTCGCGGAAGCGCAAGGCATCGGCCATGGACGACGACCTTGACGATGTCATGGACCTCAAGTACAACGAGTTCTTTGACCCGCCGGTCATCCGGGCTGATGACTCGGAGTCAGAGTCGGACGACGACGGCGAGGGTGAGTCGGACGATGACGACAGTAGCGACGGCGAGTCGGACGAGGAGTCCGGCTCTGGCTCTGGCTCTGGCTTTGGCTCTGGTTCGGGCTCGGGCTCGGGCTCGGGCTCGGGGACCGAGAAGCTCTCCAAGTACCAGCTCCGCAAGAAGCGCATGGCGGAGAAGATCGCCAAGCTCGAGGAAAAGTCGCTGGCGCCGAAAAAGTGGTCGATGATGGGTGAGGCGTCTGCGCGGTCACGGCCAGCCAACTCGCTGCTGACGGAGGATCTCGAGTTCGAGCACGCCATGGCGCCGGTGCCGGCCATCACGGCCGAAACGACGCAGTCGATCGAGGCGATCATCCGGCAGCGGATCGCCGACCGGGCGTTTGATGACGTGATCCGCAAGAAGGAGGTGCAGGGCGAGGACCCGAGCAAGCAGCCACGCAAGCTGCTCGAGGCCGAGCTCGGCGCCAAGTCGAAGAAGTCGCTCGCACAAGAGTACGAGGACGCATACATGAAGCAGGCTGGCGCCTACCGCGACGTCGAGGCCGAGAAGGCGACTGAGGAGGAGCTCGAGATGCAGCGGCTGTTCCACTCGCTCTGCGAGGACCTCAATGCGCTCTCCAATTACCAGAACGCGCCCAAGCCGTTTGTGCCCGACCTGGAGATCGTGGCCAACGCGCCGGCCATCAAGGTCGAGGAAGCCATCCCCATGGCGGTTGCCGAGGGCTCGACGCTCACCGCAAAGGAGGTGTACAGCTTGAGCAAGTCTGGCGACGCCCTTGCTGGCGAGGGTGAGGTGACCCGCGAGGAGCGGCGCGCCAAGCGCAATCGCAACAAGCGTGCCGCCGCCAAGTCGCGTGCCCGCGTCGCCGCCCGCACCGTCGTCGCAGGCGCGCCCGAAAAGGCCATGTCCAAGGATGCTGCGCTCAAGGCTATCAAGGCCGACTCGTCGGTCAAGTTTGCAGGCGACGCGGATCCAGGCGGACCGAACTACGCCCGCTCCGGCGACCTCTTCCGCAAGCTCCAGTCGGACGTCCGTGCCGATCTCTCCTCCTACAAGGCGTCCAAGAACTCCAAGGCCGGATCCAGCGGCCGCAAGCCGAAGAAGCGGGACCGTTCGGCGGCTACTTCCCAGTACAAGCTCTAGCCATGGATCATAGTGTGTTTGTGTATGTGTTTGTGTCTCTGTGGCATTCTGCCGGGGTGTCAAGGACTGCGGGGGGAGAGGGGGGGGGGGTCAGAGGTTAGGGGTCAGGGGTCACGGGTAGGCTGTAGAAGCGAGAGAGTGAGACACGTGACTGTCAGAGGCAAGAGACACAAGGGGGGAGGTATGGCGCATGCGGTGCCGCATGTGGACGAGCTGCTTAGGGAGTACCTGCTCTTCCGTGGCTTTACTGATGCCCTTGTGTCTTTGACTCGGAGCGCAAGGCCGACAAGGCCAAGGGCTTCTCGGTGGACAAGATCCTCACAGAACTTCATGCCCTCGTCTCTGCTCACAACCTTGATGGTCTCGTTGAGTTCTGGGACTTTCTGCAGACGTACTTTTTCTCCCGGCTGGACTCGTCCATGACCACTGCTGTCGATGCTCTCGAGACTGCTCTCCTTCGTTACTTTCTCGTCCATGCTGTAGAGGCTGACCGCCGCGATGTTGTCTCGTCCTTCTTTACGCTCTTTGGCGATCGTCTGTTTGCACAGGCCACCGCCCCGGGCTCGGGCCTTCGCCGTGGCACTGTTCTGGTTCCAGGCGCGGCCGCGCGTGGAAGCGCCCTCGATGACGGTGGATCAAGCGGCGGAGGCGCCATCGCCGGTGAGGTGCCGAGCGAGCTTCGCAAGGGCGTGGTCGGGCAAGGACGCGCGGCAGGCGACTCCGGGCAGTCGTCGTCATCGCTCGTCGACGTGCTGTACGTCGGATCGGGCGGGGCCGACTGGCTCGAGTGGTTTGCCCTGCCGGTCCTTGACAACCCGCAGGCGCACCCGACATTCAAGCCGTACTTTTCCAAGGCTTGGGTCGACAACTTTGCCGTCTCGCTCGCCAACTTTCTCAAGACCGTCTTCCAGGCCATCCCACTGCCCAAGCTCCTCGCCTTTAACCAGGAGCGGCTGCGCCGGCAGGCGCTCGAGGCGCAGGTCCGCTCGCTCCAGTCCGAAGTCCATCGGCTGCGCGCCCAGCTCCAGACTGCCTCGTCCGAGCTGGCGGACATGGACCGCAAGCGCAAGGTGGCCTCGACAATCCGCGTCCAGCGCGTCGAGACCCACGCCGCGGAGCGGTCATCGCGCCATTCCATGGCCATTGGCGCCGCTAGCCGTGTGGTCGAGTCGGCTCGCCCGCGCGCGGTCTCTGGCGCCTCGCGCGGAGCGCTCAGCGGCTCGGATGCTGTGGTGGAGGAAGTCGTTGCTTCGCCGCAACCCGAGCCGATGGTGGCGGCAGCGGCAGCGGCAGCGACAGGAGGGGTTGCTAGCAGGCACAGCGCCGACCCTGCTCCGGCCACCCGCGAGAGCCCGCTGCCTGGCGGCGAGGAGCCGTTCATTGTGCTCAACCAGGAGGTGTTTGCCGAGCACAAGGCGCCGATCACCAAGTGTCTGTTCTCGGCGGACGGCTCGTCGATTGCATCGGCGTCCAAAGATGGGACGGTTCGGCTGTGGACGTTCTCGTCGTTCCCGTCGTCCCGCAACGCGGTGATCCGGTGCTCGGCACCGGTGCTCTCGCTCGAGTGGGAGCCAATGTCAGACCGGCTGCTGCTCGCCGGCACGGCACAGCGTGAGATCAAGCTCTGGTCGGTCAACGAGAAAAAGGAGCTGTACACGCTGCTGGCGCCTGCACATGTTCCGCGGGTGACAACGCTCGCCTGCTCGCCGTCGTCGCAGCTGTTTGTTGCCGGGCTGGCCGGCAAGGCAGCGGGCGGCGAGCTGCATGTGTGGGATCTGCGGACCCTGCAGCCGACCATGGAGCTTGGGCTCTCGCCAGAGCCGACGGCCAACACCTCGCTGGCATTCAACCACAACGGGCGCATGCTGGTGGCTGGTGGGGCCGATGGCATGATCCGTGTCTTTGACATGTCGACCGGGACACCTATCATGGGCTGGCCGGCCCACGACGGCGCTGCTGGCGGCGTCACAGGCGTTGCCTTTACCAACGACGAGACTTCGGTGGTCTCACACGGTGCCGACGGCAAGTTTACCCGTTGGTCGCTTCATTCGCTCGGCTCGGAGCTGTACATGTACAACACGACCGGCCTGACCGGCACCGGCGGCGGTGAGCTGTCAGGCCTTGCCATGGACGGCGACGGTGAGTACATGATTGTGGGGACGAGCGCATCGCACGGCGCTATCTACCACGTCGAGCAGCACGCTCCTGTGCAGACACTTGGCGGGCACGGCAGCGCGGTCCGCGCTGTCGACTGGCATCCGACGCTCAACTGCGCCATCACCGGCTCGGCCGACGCCACTGTCCGCGTCTCCAAGCTCATCAAGGCACTGTGAAGCCAGGCTTGCGTCTCGGCCTCTGGACGTGTGCCAGCTTACAACTTGTTTTACGGGACGGCCTGGCAGGTGCTCAAAAGTCATACATCGGGTTAAAGCCGTGGTGGGACTCGGACTCGGAGTCGGCCGACGTGATGAGCGGGTCAATGTTTGTCTCTGCAAAGACGTGCGCAGCATCGTCACTGGGCTCTTGGTTGGCGACGGTGGTGTGGGTTCCGTCCGATGAGAGCTCCCACTTTGGGTTGTTGGCGTCTGCTTGAGCAGGGAGTGCATGATCGTCGGCGTTGACCGGAGCAATGTCAGAGCGGTGGACCAGGCTCGGGTTGACAGCCGACGCGTTCAGCTCACATTCTTCCGTCTCGGACAGCTCCCAGGCTGGATGGGCCTTGAGCGGCTCGCCGTTGTTGGGCTCGGAGGCGTCCCATGTCTTGGCGGGGCCGGCCGACGGGGTGTGGTCGGGAGCGGTCGACGACGACGCGTCTCCGGCAATGTTGTTGTCGTGAGTGGAGTCAACGACAGCAGAGGAGTCTGCGGGCGCAAGAAGGGCGTCCGGAGCTGCTTGTGGCTGGACCGACGGGGCCGGCTCATCGGCCGGCTCTTTGCGGCAATCAGCTGCAGCGCGTGCTGCGTCTAGCGCGCGCTGGCGGCGGGTCCTCGAACGGGCAAGCGGCGAGGCCCGGTCGAGAGCTGGCGACGAGGTTGCAGCTTGGACGGCGGCGGGCCTAGCCGATGGCGAGGTCGGAGCCACGAGTTTGGTCGGCGAGCCGTAGTGGAGAATTGCGTGCGGAATAGCTCCCTTGAGAGCAGCGTGCTTGACCCGGGCAGCTGCGGCTGTGGTGGCATCGTACTTGTTCATCCGCAGCTGGGCCGCGGGTACATCGTTGCACGGCTCGCCGCCAGAGGTATGGTCATCTTCCAAGTGCTCGACATTGGCGGGCGGGCCTGCCATCGATGTGCGGATGGACGACTTGAAGTTCTCCCACTCGGCAAGGCGGGCAAGGCGCTCCTCGCGGCGGGCGCGGACCGAGGCGGCGTCAGCCTTGGCAGCAGACTTGGACTCGGCCTCGCGCTTCTTGGCTTCAGCAATGTTGTGCTGGCGAACACGAAGCGCAGCACGGGCCTTGGCGGAACGGATGAGTGGAGGATCGACGTTTGCAGGGCGGAGTGGCGACGCAGCCGAGTAGACGACCGGAGCCTTGATGCGAGGCGGCGAGGCGGCGATGGCGTGTGACTTGACGGCAAGCTCGTGCTGCTGGGCAGCACGCTCCTCGAGAATACGTCGCGAGCGTGCGACACGCTCGGTCTTGGCCCGGATCTCGCGCTTTTTGGCCGAGTACAGACGGGCCTTTGCGCGGCGGCGGGCGGCACGGGCCTGCGGCGAGAGGGCCTCATCCGAGTTGGTTGCGATGACGTTGGGCGACGACGAGAGGGCCTTGGCCGATTGGACGTATGCAACCGGGTCGCGCGGCGGGGTGGACGCAGGCGAGCGCTCACGTCGAGACTCGATGAACGAGTTGAGAAACGGCGAGAGCTCCGGGTTGATGACTGGAGACGGCTTTTGTTCCAGCGTGCGGGTCTCGGCGGCATCCTGGAGCGGGTGCGGCTCCGGCGATGGAGTCCGGGTCGCGGCAGCAGGTGTCGGCGCACCAAGCGAGGCAACGAGCATGTCGTCCTCGACAGAGAGGGTGCGACTGATCGGGGTGCGGTGCGAGCGGGGCGTGGTTGCATGAGACTGGACCTCGGCGTCGGCCAATGCGTCGACGGACTTTGTGTCTAGGGAGAGGTTGTGTTGCGGGGTGGGATATGTGGTGGCGTCGGCGTTGGCAGCCTCTGCCTCGACCTCTGTCTGGACCTGGGCCTGTGCGGCGGCCTCCGCCTCTGCCTGGGCCTGGGCCTGTGCGGCGGCCTCGGCCTCTGCCTGGGCCTGGGCCTGTGCGGCGGCCTCGGCCTCTGCCTGGGCCTGGGCCTGTGCGGCGGCCTCCGCCTCTGCCTGTGCCTGTGCCTGTGCGGCGGCCTCTGTCTCAGCCTGGGCCTGTGCGACAGCCTCCGCCTTTGCCTGCGCTTGTGCAGCGGCCTCGGCCTCGGCCTCTGCCTTCGCCTGCGCGGCGGCCTCGGCCTCGGCCTGCGCTTGTGCAGCGGCCTCAGCCTCGGCCTCTGCCTTCGCCTGCGCGGCGGCCTCGGCCTCGGCCTGCGCTTGTGCAGCGGCCTCAGCCTCGGCCTCTGCCTTCGCCTGCGCGGCGGCCTCAGTCTCGGCCTCTGCCTTCGCCTGCGCGGCGGCCTCTGCCTCTGCCTCTGCCTTCGCCTGCGCGGCGGCCTCAGCCTCGGCCTCAGCCTTTGCCTGCGCGGCAGCCTCGGCCTGTGCGGCAGCTTCCGCCTCTGCCTGCGACTGCGCGGCGGCCTCTGCCTCCGCCTCGGCCTCTGCCTCGGCATTCGCCTCGTCAACATGTGCGCCCGCATCAGAATCGATGGAGAGGTTGGCAATGTCGACAGTAAAGCCAACAGCGTCGTCGGCCGAGAGATCGGAGAGATCGTCGACGTCGTCAAAGGCGGCCTCCTTGGCGGCTAGCTCCTCGCTCAGGTTGAGGTCAGCACTGAGGTCGAGCTCCTCGCTCAGGTCCAGGTCCAGACCCAGATCATCATCATCATCCAGGCCAAGATCGAGGTCGTCGTCGTCGTCGAGCCCCAGCGCCGCCAAGTCGTCGTCCACATCGTCGAGACCCAGCTCGGCGACGTCGATAGTCACCCCGTCATGGTCGCTCAGCCCCAGGTCGTCCAGCCCAGACATGTCGCTCAGTACCGCGTCGTCATCAAACGACATCCTTTACCCTCCTCAGGGAGTCGTGTGTGCTCGTATGTGTGTCTCGCCCTCGCCCCGCCCCGCCGCCACTCTCGTCGTCCATGCCAGTCGGACCGCGGGTGCCCATGGCGCGGGCAAACCATTCAAATTTTCATGTCGGCTTTTTTACACCATGTCTGCTCAGGCCCAGCACTCGCGGCCAGCTCGTCTCGTGCCACCAAGCCGACACGATCATGCTCTCAAGCAAACAGGAAGCCGATGTCCGGGTGGTCCTTGTTGCATGGCTGGTCAAAAAGCGTGCCAGGCGTTTGGGCGACAGCGGCGATGGCGGTGATGAGCGCGATTGTTCCGCCGCCGTCCTCGGTGGTGAGCGCGTCGTTGATGGCCGCCATGCGCGCCGCAAGCTCGCCCGTCGTCGTCGGGCAAGTCTTGACCGACTTTTTCTTGATCTTGGTCGACTCGCGGAGCTGCTTCAGGACCTGGCCTGTGTTCCACATGGCCTCGATCCGCATCTCGCCGACGAGGTCGGTTACGACCTCGGGCTTGAACGCCGCCACCATCCTAGACCGCGAGCCGCCAAAGTGGCGCTGCAGCGCTTGGTCAAACTTACCAAGCGGCTCATGGTCAAGGACAGCCGCGATGTCGTCCTTGAAGTATGAGCTGAGCAACAGGTGGTTGCGACGCTTGATCGCGTCCTTGAGCCGGGAATACAGCTGCGACAGGCGCCGCTCGCCGAGCATGTCCTCAGGGCAGACGTCGGCAGCATCAAGGAGGACAAACTCATCGATGCTGCGAGTAGCATCGATGTACGATGCAATGGCCTCCTCCTGGGTCTCATCGCTTGCGTAGCAGAGCGGGCTCGCGAGCGGCAGGCCGCGCTCGCCAAGCGCGTCGGTGAGGGCGTCGCTGTCGATGTAGATCGTTTTGTGCGAGTTGCCGTTGGTGAACTCGCTACCCGCTAGCTCGCTAAAGTACAGCGGCTTGTTGTACCGCTGGTAGATCGACTCGTTGGCGAGTGAGAGCCCCCACTGATGGCCAAAGGCCTCAAAGTCGTCGTCGGTCAGCGCCTTGAGCCGGCCCAACACCTTCTTGAGTGGGAGCTTGGCTCCGCGATCAAGCTGCTTCTTCATCTCGGCCAGCGCCTCCGGGACAACAGCAGAAAGAGTCTGCGGGTAGCAGACCTCGAGCTTGCTCGACTCGACATCCATCGGGTGGGAGAGAATGTTGCGGAGCTTCCGCATCGCCTTCTGCCCCGACTTGTTCAAGCGCATGGTTGAGCCCACCTCGGCCATGACGTACACGAAACCGAGGCGGCGCTTTTGCGCCGTCATCCCGGCATCACCTGTGTTGATCCACTCGCGGATAGAGTCGAAAGCAGTCATGTTGCTGGCCATGTGGGATGGAGTTGTGAGTTACTTATCGGTCCACGTCGCTGCCGCTGTTCGAAATCGTGCGCCGGTTTTGTCTCGGACGCGCAAAACGTGCAAAAGTGCAAAAGTGCATTTCTGCCCTCTGATAACAAGCACCGAGTGCAGAACATGTTTCGCACTGACGCCGGCGACCACACCCACGGTTCCACCACATCTACCATACGCTACCTCTTGCATTGTATCCCCATCACATCGGCGAACCGTGCGTAGCTCTGGTACCTTGTGGCTGTGTGCTATGGTGCTGTGAGAGCCGCAGCTTCCGCGTCGTCCACAAGCGGCGAGAGCAAGCGGCTGCGGTGCCAAAGGTACATTTAACGAGCTTGTGAAGCAGGCTACTTCTTCTTGCCCTTGGGCCCGCGTGACTTGAACTTTGCGTCGGTGACAGGCATGACAAAGATGGCGTCGGGCGGGGCGTCGCGCTCACCGAGCTCAAAGGTGTACGAGGTGGCGAGAGCGAGTGCGTCGCCCGAGGGCGAGAAGGCGAGGGCGGCGAGCGAAGTCTGAAACGGGCCAAAGGAGGCAAGCCGGCGCTTGTGGGCCGGGTCCCACACATTGATGCAGGCGTCACAGCCGCCGGTGGCGAGCGTGCCGTGGGTCGGGTGGAAGGCGAGGGCGTTGACCGGATAGGCGATGGCCGGGGTGCCCTTGACCGGATCGGGCTTTGCGCGGTGGCATTTGAAGGCAAACTTGCGTGCCTGGATGGCGGGCTCGGGGTCAAAGTACTCGATGGCGACGCGGCCCTCGATGGAGGAGAGAGCAAAGCCGTCGCCGGACGGCGAGGCGGCGACGGCGCGGGTCTGGTGCTTGAGCGACGATTCGCGCTTCTGAACCGGCTCGCTAAAGTTGCGCACGTCGTAGACGTAGACGTGGCGACCGGCAGTGGCAGCGACGACGCGGTGACCTGAGATATCCAGCGCATAGACCTTGCCGGGCGCCGAGGCCGAGGCCGAGCGGACGCCGACGCGCGGGTCCCACATCCCCAGCGAGCCGTCCCACGACCCGGTGACGAAAGCAGCGGCCTCGCCAGCATAAGCCACTTGTGACATGGCCTCGCCAGCTGCCGGCGCCATCAGCGAGGCGACCGGAGCGGCAGCCGGGCGCGAGACGTCGGCGACCGCGAGCACTCCTTCGAGCGTGGCCGCCGCGAGATGAGCTCCATCGGCCGAGTACGCGGTGTCGAGGACCGGAGTCGGGAGCTCGACTGTGGACACAACTGACGACAGCGTCACATCGTACACGTACACGTGCTGTGAGCGAGTGCGTGCGAGTGCGTGTGCGTGCGTGCGAGTGCGTGTGCGAGTGCGAGTGCGCGCGTGCGTGATGTTGGGCATGGTTGCCGTGGCGTCGTCGGCGGGAGTCGGGCAGGACCATGGTGATACCGTTGGTGACGATCAGTACATCAGTGAGTCCCTCCCGTTGTTGTCTTCTTTCCTTGCCCCCCCCCCCCCCCTCCCCCCCTCCCCCCTTCTCTGTCGTACCCCATCCCAGGATGAGACCGCCAAGGTTGGGCGTGTGGTCGTCGGCGCGTACGCCAGTGCCGTCACCCCGTCGGTGGGGCCGGGACCGAGCTGGAGCATATCCCCGCCTGCACCGCTCGACTCGCTGCTGGCCAAGCCATCGGACCTCCTCTCGGCTGTGTCGGCCAACAACAGGAAGGTCGTGGCCTACCTCTCGCATCCGCCACGGTTGGCTGCTCTGGTCTCGGTTGTGGTCGATCCAGTTGTGTCTCAGCCTGGTGATGATCCGCAGGAAGTCTTTGAGCGTGCTTCGCTCGCCGCTCGCGTTCTGGCTGCAGAGCCCGGCGTGGTCGGCGATGCCCTCGTTGCCACATCGCTCGTTGATCTCCCGCCCGACGCACTGCCTCGCGACTACCCTGTCCCACCCGAGAGCGAAGATGCCGCCGCAGAGGCCTCGCTTGTTTTGCGACTGTTCGACATGTCGCCCGCCGCACCGCACTCGGTCCTTGCTTGCGAAGTCCTCGCCTCACTCCTCCGGCGCCACGCCCCGGGCGTGGCTGATCTTGTCCATGCGCGCAAGGCGCTTGTCCGTGACCTTGCGCTCGCCTTTCCGCTTGCTGCGCCGCTCCTTGCCCTCCTCGCCGAACTTGTCTCCGAGCCGTCGTCGGCACGATGGGTTGTCGACATGGGCATTGTCGAAGCGCTTGTGGCCGGCGTCCGCGCCCCGCTCACCGCGCTCCCGGGCACCGACGACGATGCGTGTGCCACCCGTGACTCGGCACTCCTCTGCCTCCATCAGTGGGTCGAGTGGTCGCGCGTCCCGGCTGCGCATGTTCTCCGCGTCTACCTCTTCTCGCGACCGGTCGTCGTCCCACTTGTCAAGACCGCCACCAACCCGACAGATACCATCGCTGCCGCCGGCGCTGTCGACGTCCTCGCCGCCATTGTGCATGTCGTCGAGGCATCGACCACCGACGCCGGTGGCGTCTCGCCGGCCTCTTCGCCGCGGCCGGTCGACACTGAAGCCCTCGTCGATGCCGCCCTGGCCGTCGTCGGTAATGTCATCGACGCGCTCAACACCACTGTCGAAGCTGCTCGCCACGCTGCACCAGGCGCCCCGCCGCGCCTCGGTCTATACGCATACAAGCTCGTCCATCTCCTCGCCATTGTTATCACTGCAGGCTCGCCGCGCGCGCTCGAGGCCTATGCCAACGCCAATGTTCCGCGCACCCTGCTCCGCCTCGTCGACGCCTTTCCGCTGCACAACTGCATGGCCAACTACGCACACCAGGTTCTCGTCGCCACTCTGGCCACCACCCACGCTTCGATCGAGGCTGCCCAGCTCCGCGAGACCATGATCCATACCTCGGACGCCCATGCCATTCTCCTCTCTGCGCTCACCGCCGTGCCTGACGAGCGGAACCAGTGCAACCGCGGTCATTTTACCTCGCTAGCGACGTTGCTCGAAAACTCGGGCGCACCGCCGCCTCGTGACCCAGACCTTGCTGCAGCCTGGTCTGTATTTGTTGCCGGCCCACTCGCGGCCTCCATCACCGTCGCCAACGCGCCGCTCGGCGGCTCGGCCCCACCGCGCCTCGACATGTCGACCGACACCCTCGGCGTTGCGCCGCCGGCCGCCGATGCACCACCGGCCGACGGCGACGGCCCCAAGCCCATGTCCACCACTAACGCCCTCGTCGACGAATACGTCAACCTCCGTGGCATGGGCGCAAATCTCTCACTATTGCCTGACGACTTTGTCGCCAACGATGTTGACTGGGACGAGGCAGGCGCACCCGGCGAGTACGAACTGCCATCGACCCTCGACCGCGCCGCCCAGTGGACAGTCGAGCCCATGGACTTTGTCAACCTCGACGACGACGCTGTCGGTCTCGTCGACTCTCCCAGACCAGACCCAGCAGAGCCCATGGCCATGTCTATCGGCCCCGAAGCCACTCTCTCGTCCGTCTGGCATGGCTCGGCCGCTGCCCGTGCCGCCGACACTGCCATTGCCGACCGCCTCGCTTTGGGCCCGCGCCTCATGGACGACCGCCCTCTCGACGCCGTTCCCATCTCGGTCGCCGCCACAGAATCCCGCCTCGCGTCAGCAGAGGCCCACGCCCGCACGCGCTTTGCCGATGACATGCTGGCCGAATCGTAGCTCTCTTTCTCTCACCTCCATCCGAACTCAGTCAAAAGCAGACCGCACAATCCGTAGCTCAGGTAGCGTCTGGCGGACCTCGGCCACCGTTATCTCGGAAATGCGCTGGTCGAGGCCCCACATGCTCAGCACCTCGAGCTTTTCGCACCACCGTGCCACCGCCCACAGCGACTCGTCCGAGCACTGGAAGCACTGGTTGATGTCCAGTCGCCGCAGCTTCTGGTACGCAAACAGGAACGAGCCTAGCGACGAGAACCGCGTCGACGAAATGATGAGCGTTCGCAAGTTGGGGCATCGTCCACCAATCGCCAGCAGCCGCGCGTCGGTGCACGGCGCTGCGAGCGTCAGGTCCAGCTCCTCGAGCACTGGCGTCTTGAGATTGATCGAGAACTTCTTCGACAACTCGTTTGACCGGAACAGCAGCTTGCGGAGGCTTCGGCCAGAGACCGTCACAAACCGCGCGTTGACACAGTGTGAGAGGTTGAGCGTCCGCAGCGATGCTGGGGCCATCACTGCCACATCGCCCACAAACCCCACGCACGACCCCACATCGAGCGTCTCCAGCTCGGGCATGCCGTCAAACACCTCCTCCACTCCAGTAAACTCGACCAGCGGACATGCGTTGAGCGAGAGCCACCGGATCCCGTCACACTGCGACGCCAGGTGGCGACATGCGAGCGTCGTGATGCTTGTCGCCCCGTCGAGATGCAGCTTGCGGAGCCGTGAGCCGGCCGCCACCGCCATCGCAAACACGGCCTTGTTGCTCACCCCGGCCACCCGCGCCAGATTCACGACTTCCAGTCTTGGCATACCCTTGAACATCGCCAGCAGATCGATCTCAGGTACGTGCGTCGCCACCATGTGCAACTCGCGGAGCCGCGTCAGTGGCGCCCGCATGCTCACAAACGTCAGGTCGTAGCAATGGCTCACGTCAAGGATCTCCAGCTCCGGCGTCGCCGCGCCGTCGAGGGTAAAGCCGCCAACAACCTCCAGGCATGTCGCCGCACGCAGCACACGGAGCCGCGACATGTTGCTCAGTACAACCGCAAGCGTCACCTCGGTCACTCCGAGGCACCGCGTCAGATTGAGCTCGGTCAACGACGAGAGACTGGCCACCAGAGGGAGGAGCGAGGCGACTCCGGCAGGCTCCGTCAGCCTGTACGTGTTGAGCATTGAGTAGTCGCGAGTAGCGGCAACCTCGTCTGACAACAGCGACGTTGCTGACATCGACAGAGGCCCGCCATGCATGGTCAGCTCTCGCTGCGGCCGCCGGTCTTCCGGCGAGAGTCCAAACGCCTCACCGGTGGCATCGGCCACATACACATTGAGCCGCGAGAGGTCCAGGACCTCTAGTGATGCCAGCGACGCTACCACGCCTTCCAGCAGAGTAAGCAGTTCTGCTGTGTCCATAAGCGTCGCGCCCTGGAGCGCGAGCCGCGTCGGCGGATCCGTCTTCCACCACGACGGGCTCCACCCTTCAGAGCTTGAGCTTGAGCTAGCTGAGCTGAGGCTGCTTGTCGACAACGAGCTGTGCGACATGCATGCATCGCCTGTCCGCGATGCCGAGAGCACCGACGAGTCTGAGAGAGTGCTGGCGGCAGACGCAGCCTCACCGCTCGCCTCTGCCTCCTCGTGCTCCTCGTCGTCGGTCGTCGACGACGATCCGGACTCGACTGCAGTGTACGGATGCCGAAGCTCAAGCTTCGAGCCGTCAAGTTCCATCTGCCGACTGTTCTCGGCCTCGGCGAGGCTATCCAGCGGTCCAGACCAACCCATGGCCTTCTTCTCGAGTGCATACGTCGCGAGAGGATTGTTGCCTGGCGTCACACGCACCACGTCCAACTCGACATCGCGGGTCACATACATCTGCAACAACTCCTCGGTGAGGATCCACAGCCGCGATGGGAGTTGAATTCGACCCTCAAGCGCAACGTACGTCGCCGCGGCGCGCCAGAGAGTACACGTCCGCGCCACCGCGGCAAGCGCGGGGCCATCGAGCATGCCAAAGATGTGGATAAAGAGCTGGTCAGGTAGAACCATGCACGGTACACCACCTTCGTCTCCACTTAGTGATGCTCTTCGACCAACCTGCGAGTCCGAGCGATCGAGCCTTGCCCGCCACGACGACTGCTTGCGGACGAGCTGATGGGCCGAGAGGATAGATGCGATATGCGCCGGGAGATGGCCTCGTCGCGGGGGTCCATCACCGTTGTCACCGCCATCCCCAACACCTGCTCCAGCACCGACTCCACCAACATGGCATGTGTCCACATTCAGCCGAGGCAGCCCAGGCGGCCCCGTCAGTCCACCCGGACCCAACGCCGACACACCGTCGCCTTCGTCTCGCCCGCCGTCCTCACCGCTGTCCGCCCGACGCTGGCGGCAGCACCCAGAGCCCATGGAAGCACGTATGTGTGTGGCTGTGCGTATGTGAGTACGGGGTGTATGTGTGAGTGGATATGTGTGTGTGTATATGTATGTGTGTGTGTGTGTGTGTGTGTGGTGGTGGTGGTGGTGGTGGTGGTGAACTGCCGGTGCTGGTTGCTGTCAGAGTCGTGGCTGGGCTGGTGGCGGGCGGGTGCGGCCGGCGGTTGCTCCGGTGGTTGGTCGACGGGGACGTTGGGCAGTCGGCGCGCTACCTCGAGTCCGACCGCGACAACGTGTGGTTCACGTGCAGTTTCTCGTTCGGTTGACGCGCTCCACTCTATCGCACGCTGTCGCACTCTGCTGCGGGAACCGCATGGATGGCGGGGTGTTCAATCAGCGGCCACTACGCCTCATCGACCTACATGGAGGACAAGGCAGGCCGCGACGGGCCATCCTTGGGCACGGCAGGGGGCATCGGGATGGGAGAGTCGGTGATGGTGGCGACGGCGGGGGCGCCGGCCACGGTGAGCGAGTTGAATGAGTCGTCAGTCGAGACACAAGTCATTGAGCTGTTCTCTGGCCTCTCGCACATTGTGGCGATGACCGCCGCATCCTCACCGGTCCCATCCTGGAAGGCTGGATTCGCGTAGGCGAGGCTTGAGATATCACTCGACTGGTAGCCCTCCATCAGCCCACCGACAGCGGCATCGTCTTGGTCCTGCTGCATCGCGTTCGAAGTCGTCGCCTGCTCGAAATTCACCGCCTCCGACTGCGCCGCCTCTTTTTTGCGGAGGCGGTAAAAGTCGAACAGGACCCCGAGCATGATCGAGATGAGGAGCAGTGAGAGGCCGGTGATGATGGCAGCCTGCGAGAGGCCCGACGAGTACGTCACAGTCCCACCCCACAGCGCGAGAATGGCCATGCAGAGCATCCACGACTCGAGCCGGTTGTGGAAGGTCGAGACGTACGGCTGGATGTATGACGAGTGGACTGCAATGCCGGAGAGCAGCAGCATAACAATCGACGCCTTCAGCAGCGGGTTCTGGACGCTCACCACACTCAGCACAATCGCCAACTTGCGGGCCATGATCGCGGTCTCGAAGAGGTAGAACCGGGTCCGGTACCGCCCGATCATGAACCCGTAGCTCAGCACAAACTCCATGGCGTGCGCGCCGCCGTGCATCCGCGCCTTGCGCCGTAGCCAGAAGCCAACCGCAAGCGGAATGCCGACGCAGTAGAGCAGTGCAAAGATGATCGCCGCCGGAAGTACTTCCAATACCGAGTATCGTAGCACTCGTATGCCGGCGCAGAGGTCATAATCCATGTCTCCGAAGTCACCTTTTCGCACTCAAAGAACTTGAGCGTCATGGCCACGAGCGGGAGGTAGACAAGGGCAATGAGCTGAAAGTACGCCCGTCCGATGGTCGACACAATGCCGCGGTGCTTGAGGACCGAGACCGTGAGGCACCGCCCGAGCCGATGCTTGGCCTGGGCTGCCCTGCTTGCACCATCGCTCGGGACCACCATCCACTCGGGGTGGCTGGCGGCAAACGACTCGCCCCACCGCTCGACAACGACCATGTAGAAGACCATCCACAGGTAGACGATGCCAAAGAGAGCGACACCGATGGCCGGCATCGCCATCATGACCGCCCACTTGACCAGCCAGATGTTCGACGCGCTGATGGTGCACTCAGGCTTGGCAAGGTCGAGGTTGATGTTGAGGAACGAGACAATGTCGAAGATGGACCGCGCGTACTCGGGCCAGTCGAGGTTGATGTCACCGTAGATGGCGACGACCTGGAGCGCGTTGAGGCCGATGACGAGGGCCACGAACTTGTGCGAGACCTCGGTCTTGGTGTTGAACCACGCAGGTGCGGCGCAGGCAAAGAGGCCAAAGACCACAAAGAAGAACAGAGCAAGCTCGGTCGGGAAGCCGTCGCACTTTTTGCACTGAATGTCGATCTTGTAGTAGCCGGGTGCACACTCGCCACAGAGCAGGCCGGTGTATCCGGTTGTGCATCGGAACGGCGAGCCACCGGCACACGCCGCCCGGTTGTGGTCACACGAGATAAAGCCGTTAGTCGGGCCCGGAAAGTAGCCCGGCTTGGGATACGGCAGCTCTCGACGTCCGGGACAGATGCCACCCTCGGGACAGCGCAGACACGGGAGACCCGAGAGCTGGTCCGGCTGAAAGTAACCCTTCAAGCAGGTGCAGTTGTAGATCGACGAGGCCAGCGGCGTTGCCGACGTGTGGGGCGGGCAGGCCTTGCACTCGGGCGTGTTGACCACGTCGCTGTACGCCTCTAGGGGACACGCCAGACACGGACCGTACTCAGTCTGCGCGAAGTAGCCAACGTCGCAGACGGCAAGCACCTTGAACGACCACGGCGAACCGCCGATAGCCACAGAGTTGAGCTGTACAGAGAGCACGTACGAACCGCCGATCTGGGTCGCGTACGCGCAGGTGTACGATCCGTCGCTGTTGTCGGTGCACGAGACGAGGACTTGCGAGTCGACTGAGGAGACGGAGGCAAGGACAATGTCACCACCGGCTCGCCGGCGGTTGCCGTACTCGTCGCGGGCGACAACAACAAACTCGACGGTCTCGCCGACCTTGGACTCGACCAAGCCGGCGCCGGATGCACCCGACATGGGCGCATACGTCGGACCAGGCACAATCGTCACCTCGTACGGGTTGGCGGCAAGCGGCATGAGATTCACGCGCAGCGTGTACGCGTAGTCGCCCGGTACCGTGAGTGAGTACACCACGTCGTGGGTGCCAGCGCCAACGTAGGTTTGTCTTGAGATCGGCCCACTGTCAAGGCTCAGTGAGTTGTCGTAGAGCCCCACGATGTCGAGCGGGTTGTCGATCACAGTCCCACCGTTTTCCTTGGTCACCACCGAAAAGGCCCACGCAGCCCCGGCCTCCAACTGCTGCGGCGTTGTCGAGGTTGTCGTCGACACCACCGGATCGATGTTGGTGACAACAATAGTGGTCTCGGTTGCGAGCGTCCCGCACTCGGTCGTCCCGATCTGAAGCAGAACCCGGCAGGTGCCGGGAGTCGAGAGCGTGATGCCGCTCACGCCCGCTCCCGCATGGCTACCGGCGCACGCCTCGCCACTCAGCGTCCACTGGTAGCTGGTGAACGACGGCTGAGTGGTGACGTTGAGGGCGATGACGCCATCAACAGGCGCCACCCGGACACCAGCGGCCTCCGCCGATGCACCGACCACGCTGATAGTGTGCGCCGGCGAGGTCAGGCCCACGAGCACAAACTCGCGGATCTCGACCGCCGACGTCCGCACCGAGTATCGGCCGCGGTCGTTAAAGGCGACAACTGCAGTCAGAGGCTCCTCGCTCACCACGGTCGCACCTGAAGGCCACACCCATGGATTCGTGTCGGTCTTGGTGATTGTCACCTGTGTGTTGACGCACAGAATGTCGGCGCTCATGGTGAACGTCGGCTCGCTGGCAAAGTTGTAACGCGTCGCCTGGTTCTGTGAGACCGGCGCCGGCGCGTCATAGACGTCGACCGCCAGGCCATCGCGGCCTGCACCGCCATTGCCACCCTTACCGCCGATTCCACCAGGACCACCGGCACCACCACCACCAACTTCGGCGTTTCCAAAGCCGCCAACACCGGCGCCACCGCCATTGCCACCATCGCCGCCGTCACCGGCAACGCCGCCTCTGCCAGCCGAGCCGGCAAGTAGGTACGAGTCGGTCAGGCTTGACGCTGCGCCGCCGCTAGTCACGTACACCGCAGACGAGCATCCGCCGCCGTAGCCACCGGTGCCTGGAAAACCACCCGCGCCACCACCACCACCACCGCCACCGCCGGCTCCAGCGCCATCACAGCAGACCGAGGTGTACTGGCCCTTACCACCAGCACCGCCTCCACCACCGCCGCCTCCGTACCCGCGGATCCCAGTCCCACCGCGACTGCCAGGGACCCAGAAGTTGTAGTCGTGATACGGCGCGCCGCCGGTCGATCCTGGCGCGCCGTCGGTACCCTTGTAGCCAGTACTACCTGGATCACCATTGAACTTGTTGCCTACCGCGCCGTTACCACCGGTCCGCCCACCGCGACCACCGTTCCCGCCGCGATGTTCTTCTTGGCCACCTGATCCACCACCGCCGCCTCCACCCCCAAGATGAACGCTGCTGCTGGTGCCACCACCACCGCCGGCGGCGCCCTTTTTGCAGCATCCACTGAGAGAGCCACCGTTGCCACCATTGACACTACCTCCACCGGCTCCGCCCTTTCCACCGGGGCCCTCGTTTGTGTCGTTGTCGTCGTCGCCGTTGCCGCCCTTGGTCCCATCGCTGCCGTCTTCGCCCTTGTTGCCCTTGGAGCCTCCAGCGCCGCTGGACGCCTGGCCCGGACGGATAGAGCAGCGGACGATGGCGAATGCGTTGGCGTTGTGCAGGTAGATACCGTAGGTGGAGACGCCACGGCCCCCTTTGAACGGCGCTGCATTGGTCTCCACAACCAGATCCATGAGCTTGAAGCCGGTGATGCCATTGGCTTCCATACCAATGTACGCCCGGACCTCGCCCGACGGCGAGCCAGGGGGCTCAAAGGTGGTGGAGCCAATCCGCTGCAGAGTGGTGGTAAACAGGGCGTTTGACTTGCGCCACACGCCAGCTCCATCATACTTGAGTCCGCCTTCGTACGTGATGTATGAGCCGAGCTGAAGCCGCGCAGAAAAAGTGTACAGGCCCTGCTCAATCCGCAGCGTCACTGGAGTCGACACTGATGCACACTCCTTGGCAATGGTATGGCCGGCAGAAAAGGTGACAGGATTGCTCTTGGTCTTGTCCTTGGACGCCGTCGATGTCGAGCCGCCGGACGAGACAACCCAGACCACACCCCCTCCGCTGCGAGGTCTCCACAATCACCAGCGTAGACCACAACCACCGCAAAGGCAAGCGAAAGCAAGATAGGACGCACAGTATGCATCGACAAGTCCATGGCGCAGCCTTGGCAGAAGGAAGGAGAAGATACAAAGTGAGAGCAACACAGAGAATGAAGAGAGTGTGATTGAGTGAGGTATGGTTTTCTGCAAAAAATTGGGTTGCGAATTGGGCTTTCTTTTAGCGGGAACTCCCTTCTTCGGCCACACCGCACGCTTTTTTTTTTGCGCATGGCGCCAACCCCCGCAAGTCCCGCACCCGCACATGTAGCAGTGTTGTGGTGTTCACGAGGAAAAGAGAGAAAGAAAGAGAGAGAGAAAGAGTGAGGAAGAGTTGCAAGCGAGGTGGGGAAAACGAGAGGGCATGCCGTCTCCTCGCCTGCGACGCGTAGTTCTGGAAGCAAAGCAGCTACTATCCTGCTCAAGCCAGCGAGTCAGTGGTGCCGAGATCCTGGATGGTGTCGACAGCGACCGAGGCGCAAAGTGAGTCTGGCAGCGGGGCATTCCGGTGACCATCCGGCTTCGGCGGCGGCGCCGGCGCCGGGAGCGGCGACGGCGGCGGCGGCGAGTCGTAAAAGTGGTTGTCGGTGGCGGTATTGAACGTCATGAGCGAGCCGGACGCGGTGTCGTACTCGCCGATACAAGACGGAGGGGCGTCCGAGACGGTGGCAAAGACCGGGTTGGCGTACGCCACACTGGTGCTTCCGTCGCCATCGATGAACGTCTCCATCAACCCACCGATGGCGGCATCGTCCTCGTCCTGCTGCAGCGAGGTGGACGTTTCCGCCGCCGAAAAGCCCACTTCGCTTGCGGCACGCTTCTCCTTTTTGCGGAGGCGATAAAAGTCAAAGATAATGCCAAAGAAAATCGAGAGCACGAGCAGCGAGAGGCCGGTGATGATGGCAGCCTGCGAGAGGCCCGATGAGTATGTCACAGTCCCACCCCACAGCGCGAGAATGGCCATGCAGAGCATCCACGACTCGAGCCGGTTGTGGAAGGTCGAGACGTACGGCTGGATGTATGACGAGTGGACTGCAATGCCGGAGAGCAGCAGCATAACAATCGACGCCTTCAGCAGCGGGTCCTCCACTGCCACCACACAGACCACAATCGCCAGCTTGCGGGCCATGATCGCAGTCTCGAAGAGGTAGAACCGGGTCCGGTACCGCCCGATCATGAACCCGTAGCTCAGCACAAACTCCATGGCGGCAGCACCACCAAGAATCCGCGCCTTACGCCTCAGCCAGAGAGTGACGACCACCGGAATACCAATGCAGTAGAGCAGTGCAAAGATGACCGCAGCCGGGAAGTACCTCCAGTACACCGAGTCGTAGCACGCGTACGCCGGCGCAGATGCCATGACGTAGTCGCCGCGCTCGACCTCGACGCACTCAAAGAACTTGAGCGTCATGGCCACGAGTGGGAGGTAGACAAGGGCAATGAGCTGAAAGTACGCCCGTCCGATGGTCGACACAATGCCGCGGTGCTTGAGGACCGAGACCGTGAGGCACCGCCCGAGCCGATGCTTGGCCTGGGCTGCCCTGCTTGCACCATCGCTCGGGACCACCATCCACTCGGGGTGGCTGGCGGCAAACGACTCGCCCCACCGCTCGACAACGACCATGTAGAAGACCATCCACAGGTAGACGATGCCAAAGAGAACGACACCGATGGCCGGCATCGCCATCATGACCGCCCACTTGACCAGCCAGATGTTCGACGCGCTGATGGAGCACTCGGGAGAGGCAAGGTCGAGGTTGATGTTGAGGAACGAGACAATGTCGAAGATCGACCGCGCGTACTCGGGCCAGTCGAGGTTGATGTCGCCGTAGATGGCGACGACCTGGAGCGCGTTGAGGCCGATGACGAGGGCCACGAACTTGTGCGAGACCTCGGTCTTGGTGTTGAACCACGCAAGTGCGGCGCAGACAAAGAGGCCAAACATGAAGAAGAAGAAAAACATGAGCTCGGAAGGGAACTCGTCGCACGGCCGGCATATGTTGTCGACCTTGTAGTAGCCCGGCGCGCATTCGCCACATAGCCGCCCGGCGTACCCGTTGGCGCATCGGAACGGCGAGCCGCCGGCACACGCCGCCCGGTTGTGAGAGCACTCGATAAAGCCGTCGGCAGTTGATGTCGCCGGGTGCCAGCCCGGTCGGGCCACAGGACCGTCAGTTCCGCCTGCACAAACTGCGCCCTCGGGACACGAGAGGCAAGGGAAGCCAGTCAAGCGCTCCGGGTGGAAGAAGCCCGGTACGCACGAGCAGTTGAAAATTGTCGGCGCAATCGGCGACGCGATGGTATTGACCGGGCAGGTCTTGCACTTGGGCGCGTTGACTACATCGTTGTAGCCCTCGAGCGGACAGGCGGTGCAGGGACCAAACTCGGTTTCGGCAAGGTAACCGAGCTCACATGAGGCCAGGACCTTGATCGGCCATGGAGAGCCGCCGACCGAGAGCCCGGCAATGTTGACGCTGAGGACGTAGGTGCCGCCAAACGAAGGATTGTACGAACAGATGTAGGTGCCATCATCGTTGTCCACACACGCGACAACAGTCTGGTGGTCCGGCGACGTAAGCGTCGCCGTCACAATGTCACCGCCTTCGCCGCGCAAGTTGCTGTACGCATCACGGGCGACGACCACAAACTGAGAGGTGGTACCAACCGTGGCGTTGGTGATGCCCAGACCGGTTGCGTACGACGACGGCCCATGGGTCGGGCCGGGAACAATCGTCACTTCGTACGGATTCGTCGCCATGGCCACCAGGTTGATCCGCAGCGTGTACACGTAGTCGCCGGGAACGGTGTTGGTGTACGTCACATCGTGCTCACCAGAGCCGATGTACGTCTGCGTGCTCACTGGTCCACTCGAGAGACTGAGCAAGTTGTCGTAGAGGCCGACGACGTCAAATGCGTTGTCGACAATCGTCCCGCCACTCTCCTTGGTAACGACCGAGAATGACCAGGTCTGGCCGGCCTCCAGCGTCTGCGGCGTCGTCGACGTTGTCGTCGAGACTGCGGTGTCAATGTTGGTCACCACAACGGTAGTGGCGGTCGCCAGTGTTCCACAGTTGGTCGTCCCGATCCGCAGCAGTACGTTACAGGTACCTGCGGTTGGCAGCGGAATCATCGCCGTCGTCGCGGTTGTGTGGGTGCCAGAGCATGCGCTCCCGGAGAGCGTCCACTCGTAAAAGCCGGTGAAAGCCGGCTGTGACGCCACCGAGAGAGTCATCGACGCGCCAACGGCAGCCACTCGTACGCCTGCCACCTCGACTGACGTACCGGTCGACGAGATGGCGTGTGGCGGTGAGGTGTCGGTGATGTACACAAAGTCGCGGATGGTCCGCGATGTCGTGCCGATGGTGTGGCGCCCGGTCGACGCAAACGAGACCGTGGCCGAGCTTGTCGTCTCGTCGACAACGGCGACTGAAGACGGCCAGACCCAAGCAGCGGCGTCGTCCTTGGTGATGATCACTTCCGAGCCGGTGCAGAGCGACGAGACAGGCATGGTGATGGTCGGCTCGGCGGCAAACGAGTATCGAGTCCCTGACGCTTGCGACATGGCGACCAGTGGGTCGTACACATCAGACCGCGATCCCACCCGCCCGTTCCCACCTTTGCCGCCCCGTCCACCCGAGGAGCCAGAGCCACCCGTGCCGCCGCCCCCGACCTCCTTTGTGCCGGTGCCGGCGGCGCCACCCGAGCCACCAGCGCCACCAGCGCCGCCGGTTCCACCGCTCCCGCCGGCGCCCGCCGATCCTGCTAGCGAGTAAGAGTCGCGGAGAACGCCGCCATTTCCTGACGCTGCGTACACTGCCGACGAGCAGCCGCCGCCGTAGCCGCCGCTGCCACCGTAGCCGCCAGATCCGCCACCGCCGCCACCACCGCCACCACCGCCGGCACCATCAGTGCAAAGGTGCAGCCCTGGCCGTGACCGCCGCCACCGCCGCCACCACCACGACCGCCATATCCGCGTGATCCAGTTGCACCGGCTCCACCGGGCATCCAGTATAGGGCCGAATGCACAACCGCACCGCCGTTGGCGCCATTGAATCCAGGGCTCCCGTTGCTTGTTGCGGATGCACCATTGGCTCCCTTGAATGAGCCACCAGCACCACCGCCGCCTCCCGAACGCCCTCCGTTGCCACCCTTGCCACCGCCACGATCTTCCTGGCCGCCCGAGCCACCGCCGCCGCCGCCGCCTCCGGCCCAGTACGACGTCGGTGTATCGCCCGATTTGCCGACCGCGCCACTGGAGCAACAGTTGGAGATGGAGCCACCTGCGCCGCCCGAGCTCGAGTCCTGACTTCCAGCGCCGCCGTTGCCTCCGACACCCTCGTTGGCCTGGTTATCCTCGTCGCCGTTTTTCCCCTTGCCGCCGTTAGAGCCTGCAGAGCCCGAGCCCCCGTTGGAGCCCGAGCCGCCTGCAGACGCAGCGCCGGGGCGAATGTTGCAGCGTAGGATGGTAAAGTCGTTTGCATTGGTCAGATGGAGGCCGTACGTACTCACGCCGCGGTTAGAGGTGACGGAGGGTGCCGCATCGGTCTCAATTGTCAGGTCCTGAAGCTTAAATTTGGACTTGCTGACAGCCTGTAGCGCGATGTAGACACGCTGACCAGAAGCCGGAGTCTCGTAGCTGGTACCTGTTCTCCGCAGAGTGGTGACAAACTTGTTTGACTTGCGCCACGCGCCGGCACCGTCGTAGATGAGGCCGCCTTCGTAGGTGACATGGGACTCGAGAGAGATTTTCGAGGTAAACGAGTACACGCCTTGTTCCATGCGGATGGTGACTGGCGACGAAGCCGAAGCACACTCGGCAGCCATGGCCCGTGCGGCTGAAAAGGTGACCGGAGCGACAATGGTTCCGTCCTTGGAGGCCGTGGACGAGCTTCCGCCAGAGTGGACCACCCAGATAACGCCTCCTTCGGCCGCAAGGTCGCCACAATCGCCAGCCTCCACCACCGACACCCCAGCCACAGCCACTACCACAAGGAAAGCCACCAGATACGGGTACATCCTGTTCATGCCCATCACAACAGAAGCTATTCTTTGCTGGGTAGCTCTTGCTCGCTCGAGTCGAATGTCCACACACCCCTCCTTTCCCACGGAAACACCTGGCGGCACGCGCGGGCGCCTGCCACCTTCCCTGTCGTGGAAGCAAAACGCCAAGAAAAAAGTGCGGGAAAAGCGAACCATTACTTATTGATCACTGTTAATTGGTGGTGGAGTTGCTCCTCCGCTCCTCCGCACAGCCACGGTGGGTTTTTTCATCCAGTACGGGAAGGGGGGGGGGGGGGGGGGGAATGACCATTTTACATGTCCGCTCCCTGCGTACACACCCACCCATCCACCCACACATATTGACATGCATGCATGGGATCGTATGATCAAGGCTCGGCGTGAGCTGTAGCAAGCAGCTCCCACACGGCCACGGCGCATCGCATCTCGACGTGGTCAGGAAAGGCGGCAAACCATGGCGCATCAGCGAGGTACGAGTCGTCGTTGAGGATGAGCCACGAGAGGTTCTCACGGATGGACGAGGAGCCGTCGACGTGGACTTCGATGAGCTGCGAGGCGATGAACTCGCGGAAGGGCGGAAGGAGGACAGCGAGGTCGAGTTTGGGCGCGGTGGCGCACAGGGTGTCGCGATCGGCGGTCGACAGCTCGTCCTTGTACTTGCTGGCGACCTTGTCAAAGGCGTCGCCTGCAGTGAACTCTTGCAGGAGCCGGTAGAGGCCCTCGAGGTGCTTGAGCCTGACGTGCTGCTTGATATTGACCGGGAGGCTGCTCTCGGCGGCGGCGTTGAGCAGGACAGTCCGCAGGTAGTCGACGAGCTGATGCTCGCCGATGTCGAGCCGCTGAACGAGGCTCCCGCCTGTGGCCGAGAGGAACGCCGCCACAGTCTCAAGGGTCTGTAGGACGCGATGCGCCACTGCGAGCGAAGAGAGGTCACGGGTGATGGCCTCGGCCAGCTCGCGCGGCAGCGGCTCCTGCACAATCTTCTGTCGCACCGCGAGCATGCCCGACGCCACGCCGCCTTCGCTCACAAAGCGGGTCATTCGAAGCTCGACGTCAATGAGCGGCTTGCCGCCGAGGAACCTGGCCACGAGGTGACCTTGTGCTGCCGCAAAGTCGTACACAATGTCCCCGCTCTGGGTGTACTGCACGCACTGCTTCTCCACATACGGCGCAAAATCCAACTCTCGGTCGCAGGCGAGGACGTGCGCTGGCGTCATGAACGCGCCCTGGACAACGTTGCCGCTCCCGCCAGCGCGCTGCAACTCGCGCCCTCCCAGCAGCAACACTTCGTCGACTCGCTCCACAAGCGTGTTGTGCTTTTCCACCAGGAACCGCACCAGCGCTACCGGGCAGATGCCCTCGTCCTTGTCCGAGCAGAGCGAGAACGCCAGCGGCGTCGACCGCTCCATCCGCACGTTGACAAAGAGCTGCGGAATGCGGAGGCAGCCGAACCGCTCGACGTACTTCCACGCCGCTGTCCATGCTGCGACATACTCTTCAAACGCCGCCTCCCATCGTGGCCGCTCCGTCTCGCTCAGCGCGTCGAGCACTTCGCCGACAGTGGTCGCCCGCGCCGTCTCACGATCGAGGCGATGGTTGAACCGCTGCAGCACTAGCCCGAGCCAGGCAAACGTGCCTGGCAGGTGCGCGCACCCGCGGAGCTGCGCCGCCTGCGCCAGGTACTCGGTGAGGATCGGGAACCGCTCGCTCGCCAGCGGATCCATGTTGAGCTGCGTCACAAAGTGCTCCAGCGAGAACGGCGCCCGGTAGAGGAAGAGGGCCGACGCCGCAAGCGCCCGCGTCTCTGGTGCCAGCTCGTCGACCGCCACGCTCTCGAGCAGCTCGCCAGTAAAGAGCGAGCCCTCGGTATCGCCGTCGGCCGAGGCTGTCGCATATGCCGCCGCCAGCCGCGCCGCCAGCCCATCGGTGTCAAAGAGCGGGAAGAGGTGCGAGGCAACCAGGTGTTCCTCCCACACACCACGTGCGTCCGTGGACGCCAGCACTCGTGCGTCTTGAGCCAGCCCGCCGCCGCGCACATCCATCGAGGTCAGTCCGGCGTGCAGCAGCATCGCTACGTCGTCGTCGGTCCGCGAGAGCATTGTCGACAGAAGCTCCCAATCGGCGAAAAAGTGCTCCTCAAAGAACACCACCGCATCGTCCGGGTCGCAGTACGTGGTGTTGAACAGCGGCCGAACAGCTGCCCGCCAGCTCGGCCAGCCGGCCACGCCGCCGAGCACCAGCGCTGCATGCATCAACAGCCGCACCACCCGGGTCGCCACAGGATTGAGCGCACGGACCGAGAAAAACCGGTCGTCAGCCTCGTCCGCAGCCGCGCGGATGCAGTAGTTGGGCGAGGTCTGGTCATCAAACTCAGTCTTTTGGTACAGTTCGGTGCCGACGTCGCCGAGGTCGATGTTGGTCTCGAGCAGGTTGTGCGACTCACCGCCAATCTGCTCGCCGCACTCGGCGCACTGCAGGACTTGTGTCGGGCGCCCACACTTGTCAGTGTAGTACGCGTGCCCGTTCGGACACGCATACCACCGCCCACCAAGCGCAGTCTGTGCCATCTTGCGAATGTCCTCCGGCATCGTCGGCAAGTACGAGCCCGCAATCGCTCCCGGCTCCAGCAGCATCGTCTTGAGCAGTGCCATCGGCGCGTGGGCGTGCGCTGCAAGCGCCGCCACTGCCACATGTGCCACCACCCGCGCCTGCAGAAGCTCTTCTGGCGACGACTCGGGATTGACAGCAAGCATGGCCGCCGCCACGCCGCCAGCACTTGCTGGCGACGACGATGACGCTCCTGCGCCGTTTTTGTCGCCGGTCACCCCACCGCGAGCAAAGAACGCCACAAGCGCCCGCTCCTGCGACGACGCCACAGCTTGGAGACCCGGACTCGACTCCAGCCACGCCTCGAGTGCGACCTTGCGGCTCGCCAGCTCGCCTTGATCGGCCACCGGGAGCACATGAAGGAGGTAGACCTGGTGGAAGACTGCAGCAAGGAGGGCAGCAACCACCCGCCCACTGCTTGTTTCGGCCGCCTCGGTGCTTGCCAGCCACGACTCGAGCGACGTCGTCGAGCCCGACGAGAGGAAGCCGGCTACAGCGGCATCGCTCGACCCAAAGAGCGGGAGCGAGACAAACGGGTTGTTCCGTGGGAGCTTGCTTGATCCGAGGAACCGCACAAGTCCGGGTTCGCCGCTCTGCCGCCACTGCGAGAGCCACTCAGAGCTGACTAGAGGCTCCTGCAAAAGTGCCGATCGCACAAACGACACGCCTCGTGCCCGCTCCATCGTCTTGAGCACAAACATACGCATCGACCGAGTCACACTCGCGCCAGATCCAGAAGCGCCAACGAGCAGGCGAGCCACCATAGGGCCAAGCTGAGCCAGGCTCAGCACGCTCGCGCCCCTACCACCGCTCCGGCGCTTGGCGTCGACCTCGGCACAGAGCGCGTTGGCGTACGCGGTGAGCACGACCCGGACCCGTGCAATGTCGTCCAAAACTCGTGCCACAGCGTCGCGTGAGTCAGCACCACCAGCCGCCAGCACGCTGGCCACACCAGCCTCCAAATCGGATGGAATGACAAGGCCGTCCACACCGCTGACCGCCAGCTCGGCCGCAAGCGCCTCCTCGCGAACAGTCGTCCAGAGAACCGCCAATGGCACGTCAACGTAGCCTGCAAGCTCGACTCCAATCGCGAGCTCTGCTGCGAGCAGGTCGGCAACCGCTGGCGCCAGCGTCTCCGACTCGAGACTCATCAGCTGTCGAAGGAGAGCAACCCGCGCCGACGCTGACGGAACCACGTCGATGTAGTACTTGGCGGCGTCATCAAGGAGAAAGTCTGGCGCGTTTCCGGCGAGCAACGCCACAAAGTCAGCCAGCAGCGGCACGTCCAGCGATGCGAGGCCGTGCGGCGAAAGACAGTGCTCAAAGACAAACGCCTCCATCAGATGCGAGGCTGCCATCGAGAGCGCCGCTTCCTTGGCTGCCGCTGCCGCCACCGCCGCGGCGTCCTCGTACGCCGGCACGGGTTCAGGTGCGTTCGGCACCCGACACCACAGACAAGCCCGGCCTTGCTCCAGGTAAGCTGGAGAAGCCCGGAACTGTGCCACACATCCTGCACAGAGCAGTTGGTTGCACGACCCGCGCCCACAGTACCGCACAGGCTCGCTTGGAATCGAAAGACAGATCGCACACTCGATCTCCTGCCCGCGGCGCGAGATCTGCCGGTTGAGGTCCGACAGCAGTTGGACAAGGACCCGATACGCCGACTGGGTTGCCAGCTCAACAGGTTCGAGCGCTTCAAGGACCGAGAGCGTCATCGCCGGCTCGATGTACAGCACCATCGCGACCTCGCGCACAAACGTGTGATAGAACGCGAGCTTGCGCCACTGGCGAGCGCTGGCGGCCAACCTCGCCGCGTGACGTGGCAAGGCTGCATCCTTAACCTCCTCGTCGGCCCACGCCAGGACCGAGTCAACCGCGGGCTGCGCCTTTTCAAACCGGGCTGCCCAGTCTGGATAGTCGTCGAGGGCACACCACGCCTGGTTGACCGGGGCCAGCGCATCGAGCGCGGCAACGAGCACATCGAGATGAACTTCCGGGCCGAGTACACCTCCTGTACGAGCCAGTGCGCCAAAAACCCCGACCTTGGTTGCCGGAACGGCATCCACAAGCTCGAGGTACGCGCGCACAAACTTCTCTGCCCGCCAAAAGCCAGCATGCAGCGCGCCGAGCGTAGTGCGGCCGCTCGCCAGCTGCCCCAGCACATCGGCCACCTCTTCAACAGAGTACGCATCTGAGCCCGGCAGCGACATGGCGGCCAGGTCGTAGACGTACCGATCAAAGAGTTCACGGGGAAGCTCCCCAGAGAGGCCGTGCTCAAGGTCAAGGAGTGCAAACTGGCTCTCCAGTGCATCAGCGTCGGCAAAGGCGCGCGACGCCGAAATGATGCGTGCAAGATAAAAGGAGAATGGAAAGCGCGAGGCAAAGCGTGCGCCGCTGGCACCGTCCGAGCTCACGGTCACGGTGCCACCGACCTGCGGGACAAGCTGATCGGTGCTAGTTGCGCCCATGTCGGAAAACGACTTGGCAAAGAGGTAGAGCCAGAGGGCGCGAAGGTCTGGCTCGTCGTACAGAGCGAGCGTGCTGTTGCGGTCCATGTGGGCGAGGAGATGTGCAAACGAGGCCGCAAGCCGATCTGTGATGAGCGAGTGGAGGGCAGACCGGAAGGTTCCCGCCAGCGCGAGTTCGTGATCCATCGACGCCACAGCGCCAACGTCGAGCGTGACGTCGGCGGCAGCCACAAGCTCAGCCATAATTGACGCCACAGGCTCCAGGAACGCCGGTTCCTCGAGCGAGCGCAGAATGCCTGAAATGAGCTCTCGGACATCGTCATTGGTCCGCTCGTAGGGGTAGACCAGCTTGGCGAGCGCGGATCGAAAGTGCTCGGAGAGCACAGCCTTGAGGTCAAGCTCTGGCAGGAGCGACGAGAGCGACCGACCGAGCATGGCCGTCACGTCCGGAAGGCCCGAGCTCGAGCACGGCTCGAGGGCGTCGATGAACGCGTAGTGCCACCGCGAGTCAAAGTCAAAGGCAAAGGCCGGGCCAGACCCGCCGCCAACACCCGACCGCGGCAGGTGGACGAGGAGAACAAGGAGGGCAGAGTTATCTGCAGCCTTGGCAAGTGCGTTCTCGCAAATGTACTTGGCGTGCTCGATCCGGCGGAGCGAGGATGCGAGTGGATCGCACTGCAGCAGGAGAACCCGCGACATTGCTGCTGCCGACGGCAGCCGAGCCGATGACGACGCTTCTTCGCACGTTGTCTCGAAGAACGTCCTGACCTCTGAGAGCAAGTCGCGCTCCGACGAGAGCTCATGGAGCAGAATGTGGTGGACGTCCCAGCCGGCGTCGCCAAGGAGAGTCACCGGCGTGGATGAGATCGGCGCGTAGGTCATGACGAGCGAGCGGGTGACAGAGGCGTCGGGCAGGGCGGAGACAAAGGTGACCAGGTCCGAGTGAGCCTGCTGGCCAAAGTAGAGTTCGGCTGGCGAGACGCCGAATGAGGCCGCGAGCGCAGCGGCACGCTCGGACTCGAGCGCGCGGCAGGTGGCCTCGGGCGTTGCGATCCACATGAGCTTGGCCAGCGCGACACCATCGGCACTCTCGGTCCCGCCCGCAGTGCTACTTTCAGCATCGCCACTGGCGCCCGCGTCGTCGCGGCCGAGCTGCGAGGTGAGGACAAGCGAGGAGAGGAGGTCTGGATGGTAGCCGCAGAACGCAGCCTGGGCATCGGCCTGCGAGGGCCCGGCAAAGGCGGTGACAAAGTCAGTGAGGCGGTCGACGGTGCGGGAAGCGGAGGAAGAGAGCATCGAGCCGCGCTCCATGACTTGCTTCTCGAACCGGTTGAGAAGCGGCGGAGCGAGGCGGGTGTAGGCCTCGTGCTTGTCGACGACGACGACGATGCGGAACGTGGGATCAATGGGGCAGAGTCGCGAGTGGGTGCCAAAGGCGAGGCGGACAAAGAGCTGGCCGCCATACTCGCAGTAGTGCTGGTTGAGCAAGTCGTAGAGCGACTCGTAGAGCGACTCGCAGTGGACAAGGACAACAGTGACACCCTCGGCCATGCAGTTCTTGACGCGCTGGATGTTGAGGCAGACCTGTAGATCGGTCTGGTCGAGCGGAAAGTCAGAACCAAAAATGACCTGGGTGTTGTCGAGGGTGAGGAGACCCGAATCAAAGACCAGGCCAAGCGCTGCGTTGTTCTTGGTGAGAAGCATGAGGTGGCGGGCTTCGATCTGAGCCAGGTTCTGCGCCACCAGCTGCGTCACAGACAGCGGCGGTGCGCGCTCGAGCGGCAGGCCGATGGTGCGGAAAAAGGTGGCGAGGACTGCCTTGGTCTCGGCTGGCCGGCCGCCAAAGTTACGGAGGACAGCCTCTGCGAGGAGGGCAGGATCAAGCGAGCTTGCCGTGCAGTCGACGTTGAGGGCGCGGTTGATGTGGCGGACGGTGGAGTAAAACTCGCGGAGGCCCCAAAAGTCCGGCAGCTGCTGGTTGGCGTAGGTGGTCGAGTACGCTTCGGCAAGGGAGCCGAGGTAGCCCTTGAGGTTGGCCGACGCCACCATGCCCTCGGCAGTGATCGAGAGGTCATCAACGGTCGGGGCAGGCCGGTAGAGATGGACGGCACGGTTCATCTTGGCCGGGTCGAGGGCCCAGTTGGAGATTCCGACCACGGCCTCGCCGGCCGAGCCCTCGTCGAGCACCTTGTGAAGGACCTTGAGAGGGAGGTGCGGCGACTGCTCGGCGAGGCCAACCTCGTCCAGGAGAACAACAACAACGGTGTTGGGTGCCTCGCGCTTGTAGCGGCGCGCGGTTTCAAAGGCAGCCTCGATGCCGTCCGAGGTCGAAAGTGGCGAGCATTGGTAGGAGAAGACCTCCACAGCCGGCAGCGAGCGGAGGAAGGCGTTTTCCGATGCGTCGCCGTTGAGGTTGGCCTGGACAAGCTCCATGGCGAGCGACTTGGACGAACCCGGCTTGCCGACGACAAAGATGGGGATCGAGTTGAGGACAGAGACCAGGATCATGAACAGGTTCTCGCACAGGGCCTCATTGAGAGCGATGCCATCGCCGAGCTTCATGTGCGAGACAAAGGCTCGCTGGGTCTCATCGAGGACCGTGGCAAAGGCGTTGGCATCGAGCTTGAGCCACTTGGCCTGGGCGTGCTGCTGGCGAGCATACCAGTGAGCGGTAAAGTCCCAGCCGTCGAGGAGCGAGAAGCCACCGCCGCCGCGGTTGCGGCGGTTGCGGCGGCTATGGCTGCGCGCATTCCGAGCCGACTGGGCCGCGACCTGCAGCGAGTACCACGCGTCCGAGACGGTAGCGCGGTATTCGCGGCGATGGGCACGTCCGAGACGGGCGTGGTAGCAGTACGCGAGCGAGAGAATGACGGCCTTGCGGATGGCCTTGCGTGCTGGCTTCTGGACCGAGAAAAACTCCTCGAGATCCCAGCCGTCTGCTGATCGGCTAAAGTGCTCGCCGAACCAGCGGTAGACTTTGACACAGCGGGCAACGTCGCGGAGCGAGACGGTGGAGCGCTCGCCGCCGGCGACGGCGCGCACAAACTCTTGCGAGGCGCAGATGAGCTCGGCAAAGACCTCGACAAACTCACCAAAAGGAGTAAGCTTTGGTGCCATAAAGGCGTAGCGGGCCTGCTCCTCGGCGGCGGGCCCATCGCCAAGCTGGGCGCGCATCAGCGCCTCGGCTTCCTCCTCGTTGAGGTTCTCCTGCTCCTGTACCATCTGCATCATCTCGGGCGTGACGTACACGCCAATGTTTCGGAGAAGAACAGCCTTGATGTACAGCCGCTCGGTGTCTGCTGAGAGGGCGCCAAAGTCGAACACATGGTCGACCATCGACTCGGGCAGCGGGTGGACCCGATAGACGAGGTTGGCGAGTGGATCGTGGATGCCAGTCCCAATGTTGTCGTCGTTGGGCCCAAACTCGGTTGCCGGCGCCTCGTAGACGAGACCGGCGGCGGCGGCGTCGTCGATGTCGGCGGCGGTCTTGAGGCGGTATGGATTGCAGGCGGCAATGATCTTGATCGAGGCCGGGAGCGTGACGCCATCCATCGAGTGGTCGCACACAAGCTCCTTGAACAGACCCATGCAGTTGCAGGTGTTGACTTCGTCGAAAAAGACGACAATGCGGTCGGTGGGCGAGACGAGGTCTGCAGCCTCGGCGAGCCGGTCGTGCATCCACGAGCAGATGGCTGGCGCATCCATGCCGCCGTGGATGTTGAGGATGCGAAGGCGGTAGCCGAGGATGGCGCAGAGCTGCTTGATGAGCGACGACTTGCCGCACCCGGTCTCGCCCGAGATGACAACCGGGAGGCCGTACTTGAGGCGGAGGAGGATAGAGAGCATCTTGAGCAAGTTGTCAACAGTGATGACGTACGACGGGTTAATGGGTTCCGACGTTGCGCCAGCCCATCCGTCTACTTTGCGCAGCAGTTCGATGGCGGCCTCGTTGGTGAGCTTCTTCCAGTCCTTGGCAAAGTCGAGGCCGTTGTGGGAGAGTGCTTGCTGGAGAGCATGCTCGAAAAAGGTGTGGGTAAACTCGGGGTTGAGCGAGAGAATGTCGAGTCCGGAGACCTCCATCGAGTGGGCCGACTGGTAGAAGAGAACGAGCGGGTGATCCGAAGTTTCCCACGAGGTCATGCGCGAAAAGCGAGCAGCAGCGCGCTCGGCGTCGGCGGCTGTGGGCGAGGTCGGGTTGGCCGGCGGCGGTCCGACGGGCGATGCTGACGAGGACGTGGCCGGCGCGGCGTCGTCATTGTCGGGAAAGGCGATGCGGCCGGGGACGGCGGCGTCGCCGCCAACAGGCGTCGGCACGTTGTAGCCAATGACCTCGACTTGGGGGACGGAGCGGAGCGAAAAGTCCTTGGAGGTCTCGATGAGGAGCGACATAAAGACGTGCTTAAGGCGCTCAAGGCCCTGGGTCGACTGAAGTACAGCCGAGGAGAAGACGGCGTAGTTGGTGAGGCGGAGGAACTGCTGGTACATAAACTTGACAAAGTTGGCAAAGATGAGGAACGACGGGCGCTGGTCGGTGATGCAGAACTGGACAAGGAGGCCGAAGGCCTCTTCGGGCGTCGGATCCGGATCCAGCCATGGGTTGTACTCGGGATCAAAGCCGTCGCCGGGCTCAAACTTGCCCGCGAGGTAGCTGCGAAGCATTTTGCACACAAAGACAAGCTCGTCGTTGACCGGGCAGGCGATGCGGGTGGCGGCGTTGTTGACAAAGATCGGGCTCCGGAGGTCGACCGAGCGCACTTTGAGATGAACTGAGGGGAGGAATGAGCAGAAGCGGAGCGAAAGCGCGGTCTTGTTGCCGACCGAGTTGGGGATCTCGAGATAAAAGGCGTCACCGGGCCGACGGTGGTAGACACGGCAGGAGCTAGTGTCACGGAGGACGCCGACAAGCAGGAGCTGGAAGAGGAGGGTGTTGGCCGACGGCGGAATGATGTGGCCGATGTCGAGGTGGAATGCGTAGGGGACCACGTCCGGAAGGGAGGTGAGAGTGTCGAGGAGGGTGGCGACCGAGGTCGACTCGCGGAAGGCGAGCTTGCGGTAGCGGAGCTCGGGGTTGTCGTACTTTTGCGCCTGTGCGATGAGCGAGAGGATGTGATGGCTCTTGCCGCCGCCGTTGATCTCGGACGTGACTGCGAGCGTGTGCGTGTGCGAGCCAGGAGCGGCGAGCGCGTCGGCGCAGACCCGACGAAGTTCGACCTCGTCGAGCGGCTGCAGGGCGACGAGCTGCGATGAGAGCGAAGTGAGGATGACCTGGCGCGGGGCCCCCGAGACAAACAGGAGCGACGCCGCGTTGTCTGTCCCGTACTCGGCGAGGAGTGAGTGGAGCGCGTCGACGATGGCGCATTGGAGCGTGTACGAGAGTGCGTGGATGTCGGCCAATGTGTAGAGTGCCGAGGCGCGGCCGTGGGCGGCGGCGGCCACAAATCGACGCAGGAGGAGCGTGACGTCCTCGAGCCGGGTGGTACTCGTGCAGAAGATGATCTCGTCGGGCTCGGGGAGCCGTCCGCGGCGCGCGTAGACCGAGAGCACCACGTCGATGACGCGAGACGGCGAGTCTGCGGTGGCCACCCAGACTGGGAGCGTCCGCGACTCGGCGGCCTTGACCAGCATGTCGGCGCGATGCTCAACGGTGGCGTCGGGCGGCGGGATGGTGCGGAAGGAGACCGACGCCGAGCCGAAGATGTCTGTGAGGATGGCACCTAGAGCCGAGAGCTTGTCTGCCGGGGTGGCATCCACCATGGCCGGTGTCCACGAGGCGTACGCGGCGGCGACGGCGGAGGCGTCGACAGAAGATGCCACCAGATGCATCATCGAGGTAAAGGCGTCGAGCGGCGACGCGGCTGAGCAAGATGCGAGAAGGAGGAGCTCGTCGTCGTCGTCGGCTGCGGCGCGAGCGCTGGTGGTGCCAAAGGCGGCGGCAGCAAGTGCCGCCGCGCCGTCCTGCGGCCCGCACCCAGGCGGCGCCGGGCCCGAACAAATGGAGCAGGTCGAGGCAGTTGGTGCGTTGTGAAAAGTGCACATAGGGCAGGGCCACTCGCCCGAAGGCAGCAGCGTCTGCGACTTGTCGCTTGTACTGAGGGACGATGGCGGCGGCAGCGCCGGTGCCGCGGTGGCTTCCACAGATGCAGCCGCGGGTTCCGGGGCGTGCTGGGCCGAGAGCAACTCGTTGAGGACCTGAATCTCGCGCATGGAAAAGTAGTTGAGGAAAAGTACGAGTCGCGCGCGGTCTTGACCGTCACCTTCCACTCGGCGATGTGCTGATCGAGCGAGGCGCGCAGAGCGTCGAGCTTGGCGCTTCCGGTCTCGACGTTGAACGGAAGGCGGAGCTCGTAGCCGCCCTGGAAGGCAAAGTGGCCCGAGGACGAGAGGGTGATGAGGGCTGCGCGGATCTCGAGCAAGGTCTCGAGCTGGAGGACGTAGGCTTCGACAACGGCCTCGACATCCATGGCAGCGCGGAGCTCCGAGTCGTCGGGAATCTCGGTCATCATGAGTTTGGAGCGGAGGTCAATGAGAAACTCCAGCGGGTGGCTCTCGGGCTCGCTGGTCGGGTCGTCGTCATCAGAGGCGAGGACGAGGGTGAGGACGTCGTCCTCTGCAGCGGCGGCGGTAAAGACAAAGGTGCCACGGGTGAGCATGTCGCGGAGCGAGTAGATCGACTTGATGCCTGGCGAGCGAGTCCGCTTCTCAAAGACGTTCATGAGCCCGTCGAATGAGGCCTGGATGTTGAGCAAGTGCTCGTGGTCGTCGCGAGAGATCTCGAGGGCGCGGAACTTGGCGAGAAAGGCGTCGGCGGACGCGTAGGTGGTCTGTCGGTAGAGGAGCGGAATGAGCTTAGTCCGAATGTGGACAAGCGAGGCGATGGACGAGAGGACTCGGGCATCGTCGGTGCACGGCCGACAGACCTGTAGCAAGCGGTTGAACTCGTCGGTGTCTGCGTGGTCGAGAAGCCATTCGGCGAGCGGGGCGGCGTCGGCGAGCACGCCGAGGAATGTCAGCTGGTTGCTTGAGTACGGCGCAAACAAGTCCCGGACGTGAGCCACGAGCGCTGGCAGCGACCCGAGGGTCTGCGAGGACCAGCGCGAGCGGATGGCAACAAGGTGTGACGTGAGCTGAACCACGAGCGGGTCAGCCTCGTACTCGGTGGCAACCAGCGGCGCGACAAGGCGGCAGACTTGCAGAGTGGCTGGGATCCAGGTGGTGAGCCGGAGGAGGAGCGAGTAGTCGGCGAGCATCGGGTAGACAGCGTCGGCCCACGAGCCCGCCTGGGCTGACGACGCCGCGGTCGAGTTTGCACTTGTCGAGGCGGCGAGCAAGTCGAGCTCACGTCGGTACGCCGGTGCATCGGCCGCCGGCGGAAGAGTGCCAAACGTCTCGCCGAGGCGGGTGACCGAGATCGAGGCGGTGGCGACGGAGGCGGCGAGCTCGGCCCATGCGCTCTGGGCGGCCGGAATGAGCTCAGCAAGGACGTCGTCCTGGGAAAGAACTATTTCAGTCAGTTCGACGTCGTCGTCGAGGGCGGCAGCGGCGGCGGCGGCGCTGGTCTCGTTATCGACATCGCCAGCCTCATCGTCAGATGAGAACGAGGAGACTCCGTGATCAAACGACGACGAGGCAGCGAGGGCGGCAGCGCGGAGAGAGGCTGAGAGCGAGGCGCCGGTTTGCTTCCAGATGGTGAAAAGAGGTCCGAGTTGCGAAGTGAGTACAGCCAGGGTACATGTGGCATGCACGGCAAGTCGCTCAGCGGGCGGTCGCGGATGTAGGCGAGGGTGAGCGAGTCAAAGCGGTCGCGAAGAGAGTCAGTCTGTGCGCGGAGCTGCGAGGCGTCAATGCGGACGCCGGCCGAGTTGCAGTAGAAGGAGATGAAGCACTGCAGCTGCTCGAGAGCCGCTTCAAAGTGGGCAAGCGGGGCAGCGGCATCGGAGAGAGTGTCGGCCGAGATGGCACCGGCGCCGGCGTCCAGAACGGCGCACATGTCAAGAAAGGCGGTGTGGGCCTCAATAGCAACGCGAAGAGTGGCGAGCGAGATGGCACCGGATACGAGCGAGGCGGCGGTGGTGTGAACGGTCGAGGCGGCGGCATCAAGGAGAGCGGCAAGGTGCGAGTCTGGTGGCGGGTGTCGAATCCAGCGAAAGACCTCGAGCCAGAGCGGAGCAAAGTTGAGGACGGCGACAAGCGATGGGCTCGCCGACGCGATGGCAACAAGGAGCGAGTGGAGAAGCGCGTGGGCGAGGAGCGAGGACGGCGAGAGGTTGTCGCGAATGAGGCCAACGATGGCCATGAGCTCGTCGAGCGGGCGCGAGGTGGCTGCCGAGGTGACGACGTTGGAGGCGTGGTCTAGGAGCCAGGCAGCAAGCGGTGGAGAGTAGGCGTCAAACGCGATGGCGCAGAGGGCCGGGAGAACCGCGGCTGGCTCGCCGCGGAAAAAGTGGCAGCGGCCAAGCTCAAACAGAGTGGCCTGAACGCGATGGATGCCAAAGTAGGGAATGGCGAGCAAAGCGTTGGCGGCATCGAGGCCGTCGCGCGTCGCGGCAAGACGGGCAGCTGCAATCTGCTGTGGTGTGGGCTTTTTCTTGCGACGGGCGCGCGAGGAAAAGGCGTACTGAAAGCCCCATGTGGAACCGGTGAGTGGCCTGTCGTCGTCGTCCGAATCGTCGTCCGAGTCGGTGTCCGACTGGGCGTGTGAGCGGCGGAACCAGTCCTTGGCTGCGGCGTTGAGGGCGGCAACAAGCTCGAGGCCCGGAGCTGCGGCGTCGCGCTCAGCCTGCGGCGCGTCGGGCGAGACCGGCGGCGGCGGCTGGTAGTCGGCGAGGCAGAGGGCGACAAAGTCGAGGACGGCGCCCTGAAACGCATCAGCCTCGGCGTTGTTGAGCATGGCGGCGGCAACAGCCGGCGAGGCAAGAGATGGGACGCGGGCGACAAGGCCGGCAAGGACTCCGATGTCGGCTTCCTTGGCCCAGTACAGCTGCTGGACTTTGGTTGCAAAGGCAGCGACGAGGGCCGGGGCAAAAGCGGCAAAGTCGTCGTCGAAGAGTGCGTCAAGGGCGGCAACACTCGGGGCGTGAGCGACGAGGCCGCGGTGCCAAGCGGCGGCGAGGGCGGCGAGCGGCGGCTCGCCCTCAAAGACGGTGCCGGCCGTGAGCATGGCCTGCAGATCGCCGAGCGCCGACGCGGCGAGGCCACGGACGGTGGCGGCGGCGTCAAGAAAGTCGGGCATCGACTTTGAGGCGTTCTTGATGCGAATGGTCGGATGGACGCTGTGCTTGTCAAACAGTGGGGTGGCCTTGAGCCAGTCGTAGGAGCCGACGCCCGCGGCGCGCTCGGCAGCCTCTGCAACGCCGACGACGGCCCAGCGGCCGTGGCGACCAAAGTGGGCGAGGTCAAAGCCCGCGGCAGCGGCAATGTCGACGCCGTTGAGCATGTGCCAGCACCAGGGTGATGGATCTGGGACGCGGCGTTTGCGTGCAGCGCGCGCGGCCGGCACGGGGACGGCGCGGCCGTTGACAGCCTGGTAGGTGATACCAGAGGCGCCAGCGCCGGCCGTGCGCCATGGATCGCGCGACGAGAGGCCATACGAGCCGACAATGGCGGCGAGGACAAGTGAGAGGCCGGTCTCAACGCCGGTCTCGCCACCGGCTTCCTGCAGCCGCGCCAGAGCCTTGTTGATCACGCCCTCGGCCTGGGCCCGCGATGAGCGGAACGAGAGTTTGAGATCAAAGACCCGCTCGAGGAGATCGGCAACTTCGAGGCCGCCATTGAAAAAAGCATCAAGATCAAGGGTCATAAAGGTGACCACCTCGCCAGAGATGCGCTTGTAGGCGGCAAAGCGGCGGTTGCGATAGTCGCGACGAAAGGCATCGAACCAGTGATTGCGGATGGTATCTGGCGCCCGATTGGCGCCGCCCTCCATATCCACCGAGTTGGTCGACGTAGACTCGATGGCGTACTTGTACTGAAAGACGCCGCGGAACTTTTTGTGCCCGATCTTGTACGGCTGAGATTGGGGGGGGGGGGAGGGGCGGAAAAGGAACATGGGCTCGATGTGGCAGGTGCCGGAGGAAGACAATGATGACAATGATGATAGCTGGGGAATGCTGATTGGGGAATGATCGGAGAGGGGGAGCACGGAGAGGACGAAGAGTAGGCAGGGGCAGGGGCAGGGGCGAGGGGGGGGGGGAGGGGGAGGGAGGTCGACATACCAGGAGGACTTGTAGGTCCCATACCGACGGGTCCGACTCGCTTTGAATCATGGGCAGGCCATGCTGCCACTCACCCAGCTCGGGAATGGAGCCACGGAGGGTGACGATGTCGGTGGGTCGCAGTACTGTGGTGTCGACCACAACATGGAAGGTGACGAGGGTCTCGGGAGGTGGGGTTGCTGCCGCTGCTGCTGCTGCTGCTGCCATGCCTGTGAGCAGAAGCAGGAGAAGAAGCGAGACCGGTGTGACCAGCAGAGGTCTTTTGGGCGACGCTGTCACTGATCGGGGCGATCGGCAGAGGCCGGGGATATAGAGGGATGGGGAGAGTGGAGGGATGGGGGGGGAGAGAGGAGAGAGAGATGGAGGGAATGAAGAAGGGAGGGAGG